GAAAATACCTTGTTAGTGGTCGATTCAGGTTCTTGCTGAGAACTTTTTTTTTATTATTTTATTATTTTTATGTTGATTACTTAGTGATATTATATGTCTTTTGGTTATCTCGTCTATTCGCGGCCTCCTCTATCTTCTTCTCTCGCTTAACAGTACTTAATCGAACCATTTTACGTAAGTTTTTGTGTATATAGTTTTCACATAGATATCATAGAGGATATGATGTTGTGTGTATAATAGCAAGATAATGTATTCTTGACAGCGATGGAGAGCTCGATCAACAATATTTTTCGGCGACAAAGGAACGCGAGAGAGAGAGAGTTCATGACGATCATAACATATGGGAGCATACGTGGGATGAATATGCTTTTCGAAGAATAAGGAAGCTATTAGAAATAGATCATGAGTGTTGATTCCCCCTTTTTTAACACGTTAATTACAATATAAAAAATTATACTTTATTATTAATTATTAAATATTACGATTTAAAAAGTATTATCACCTGAGTTTTGTATAAACATATTTTAAACTTGATTTTTAAAATGCAACCTCAGTGTCAGCTTGTTTGGGAGCGATTTTTATTGCCCCAAAAAATTGATTTTTTAACCGTTATTTCACTATTCCAACGTCATATTTGACTTCTTCTTTCACAGGTGGACCCCACTTTTCCCCTAAAGGTCAAAAAATCAATTTTCAAAATCACTCCCAAACAGGCTCTGTAATTTTCACCAATGTCATGCTACTTTAAGAGTATGCTTAATTGAATTTATTTTTTTATGAAAAATGTTATTTTTCTATACAAATTCTTACTTTTTGGGTGTTTGATTGATAATTTTTTCATAAAATAATATTTTTCAATTTTGATGTGTAACTGTATATTCCTCAAAAACAATGAAAACATTTTTTTTAGGGAACGTAATTTTTATTTTTCAGGTAATTCACTTTCTTTCTCTCTCTCTCATCTATCCCCTTTCACTTTCATTTATCAAAAAATAAAAATAAAAATGGACAAGTATAATATTTTTTAAGTTGAAAATTAAGGCCCTGTTTAAGCCCCATTTTTACATCATTAAAATGAAAAATATGACCGTTATCCATCACATCAAACCACCATTTTTGAATTTCTATCTCTTGTATGGAACCCATAACAACTCTATTTTTCATTCTCATTCTACAAATAATGTGGCTCAAACGGCTCTAAATCAATTAAACATATTTAATTAATAATTTTCATACAATTGCTTAGAACTTATTTGCTTCCCATGCAAATTTCATGACGACAAATATAAGGTTTATGTTCTTACAATAGGGATTATACATACCCAATTTGAGAGTGTCGAAGCCGACGTGAATATTTGGATAGATTGCATTTATCAATTTTGTGATTATTGGAGATGGTGCTTCGATGTTAATAGTAATGTACATTTACTTAGGAACTTTTACCAATTTTATAATTTGATTTGTAGTTATTATATCATTTTCTGGTAAAAGGCATTGATTTTAAGCATTTGCATTTCAAAAATTGCTGGTTGAGAGTTTTACACAGGAATAAGAAGCTGACGATGCTTTTGGATGTATCCTATATACAAGTCAGCCTTTTTTAGTGAGCTTGATTGATTTGCCAGGTGATTGATTAAGGATTTAGCAGATACCTTTTCATTTAAGAAAGGAAATAACAAAAGAACCGAGGGCTCGTTTGGTAGGGATTTTGAGAATTGATTTTTTGATCGTTAGAAAAAAAGTGAGATCCACATGTGAGAGAAAAAGTCAAAAATTACGACTTGAATAGTAAAATAACGGACAAAAAATCAATTTTTTGGGACAAAAAATCCCTACCAAACGGGCCCCGAGATGGGTGTGCAGAACCCCCAGTTCACAAACCTCTTACAGAGGTCTTACATATGGTGGGGTCGAAATTTTTTTTGTCATTTTTATTATATTGGGCCCCACAGTGAGGTCGACCTTTGTGAGAGGTCTGATTTTCTTCTGTAAAAATAATTCCGTACAATCACAATCGTTCATGACAAAAATCCTTTTATTTTTATCACATACTTTTTAGTTATTTGATTTGTCAATTCAAGTGACCTTTGGTCCTGCTGTGGAAGACTGGATAAAAAAAATACATAATAATGATCGAATTATTTTTTTTTTGAAAATTTCAACAAAGTAGTACCCACAATTCCTATTAAAAGCCCACGTGACCTGTTGTTGACTACTCATTAATGTAGTTTATTATTGGCATCCCTTAATTCATTATTTAAATGAACTTATGATATGTTTTAATGGCGTAATGTAGGGATAACCACAATATGATGTAGTTTTAAATATAATAATGATAAAATGCATTTCATATCCATATATTGAAAAAAAATAAAAAATTAAAGGATCAAGAAATTTATGCAGGTGATAATATCCTTATCCAATGGGTTCCTCTTACATCTTTAATCAAAGTTAAAAGAAGCTAATTTTCACGTACTATCTTTCAATTATTAATATTTGTTTATGAGAGATTAATTGAAGTAAAAAATTAATTTTTTAGGAAATTGTATGAAAAAAAGTAGAAAAACTCATGAGTTTACGTAGGGTTGGACAAAGCTCCCAAACGAAATCGTACCCAACCCGACCTAAATTGAACCAATCGACTCTTTTAAAGTCAAATACCCGAATGGGTATACGAATCGAGAGCTGAGGTGTTAGGTTCTGTTCTCAATTTTAGATAATAAAAAAAAACTGAAAAATCAAATAAGAACCAAGCCTTCCTAATTTTTTTAGTTTATTTATTTTAAATAAGTCCAATTATTTTTTAAAATAAATTTATTAACTAATTAATTTAGTTTAAACTCAAAAATATGATTTTTCATATTTATAATTTTCAGTCCAAACCCAACTCAATCAAATTGATAAATTTTTTACCCAAATTTATTATTCTATTGTAGTGTCTTTTCTACCGTTATAGAAAAATCGAATTGACACGGGACAACGTCTCCTTTAATAATTGTGAGCTCACTATCTTCATATTCTCATGATTTTAACAATCAAATATATGAAGAACTCAATAAAGAGAGATACAAAAAACATATAAGACCGCATTATGTCATTTTGTAAGAATTAAGTTTGAACATATCATTACTTGAATTAATATAGTTCGTAAATATTAAAAAAATTGATTATAGTACGAAACTTGAGAACTGAATGAAATCGAACCAAACCCGAACGGTTCCACTCACTAAATATCTGTAAATTTTGGGTCCAATTCGATTATGACAAGAACCAAATTGAACCGGACCATGTGCAGTCCTAAGTTTACGTATAAAATTTTTTATTAGAAAATTATGTAATTAAAAATAAATTTGAGAAAAATTAAATTAGAAATAAATGTGTTAAACAAAAGCTTAATGCGCTGTATGAAATATTTCCCTTTTTACTTGAATGGAAGTGTCTAGAATAATAGATGTCTTAACGCGTCCATTCATTTTCATCGTAACACTTAAAAATATGTACTTATGTTATTAATCTAAACACAAGAAATTAGAAACTGTTTCGAGCGGGTTCGTCGCTAACAATTAAAAGGGATCAGACGATTGTGTAAGGGACAAACCTCTTGAGACAAAGTCTCAAAAAGTGGTGTTCTTTTTACTGAAAGAAGTGTTTAAATCTAAGTTAAGAAATTTTAAAATTACATGTTCTCTGTTCGAGAGTTTTTGATTCGATTCCTTTGTTCTATGTCTTTCCTTCCCTTTATACTCCCTGGACGATCTCTTTGTGATCAACCGTCTAAAAACTGTTTGATCGTTCTATAACTGCACACTTTCCTCGTAATGGCCAACTTGTCATGGAACTGCCTTTTCTAACTGCTGCTATTACTCTTTGTCGTTCAACCGTCTTCAATTGAGTTCCTTGAATCGTGGAACGTGGTAGGGCTGCTTTAATAACTGCGCTTCTTGATAACCACAACACTTCATGTCTGCTAAGACTTTGGGCGACTCGAAAGTTTGGGCGAGAATAGAGTAATAGCTCTGGGCGACTGCATGACACTCCATTCGTTCAGATCCTGGACGACTCGCAAGCTTGAGCGATTGTGTTACCGCGTTCATGGGCCTCTCTATTTGGGCCTTCATCTTGAATTGTCTGATTGGGCTTCATTCTTTGGGCTATCTGATTTGGGGATCCTCCAATCGGGTTTCATTCCTTGGGTCGTTCGATTTTGGCTGAATTTTTATGTGTCAACAGAAACCACAATCTTGAAATCGTTTTGATTGGAGTTTGATGCCCTACAACTACAATGCCCAAAATATTTCTTATTTTTATTTTTGGTTCCCAATTTATGGATTTTGTTTATTTCTTCTAGCAGCTAGGCGAATGGCTTTCAATTTTGCAATACAGTTAGATTCGGGTTTTGCTAACGGATTGTACCCTTTTTTTTTTTTTTTAAAGAAGCAAGAAAAGAAGATGAAGGAAAAGAGAAACGATATAGAAAAAAGGAATTGTTCTAAATGGAAAAGTGCCTTATATGATCTAACAATGTTACAATCTACAAAATCAAGAGTCGAGGACTATGGCATAAAAAGTTATGAGGGCCAAGTTGCAACAAGGTCCCTTTTACAATCAGTTTTAGAAATTCAAAACTAATTATTTTACGATCTTTATAGGTCGATGATTAACACTCGAAAATCAATTCTCGAGCAAGCAAATTATAAGGCTCCAACTTTATCAAACATATTCTTCTATTATTAGAAATTAATAGCTCTTGAAAAGATTTAAGTATGACTATATCTAAACAAAATTGAAGATAGAGATCGATTTAATTATGAATGGACTTTATTAATTAGTGGAAAGATTTAAAACAAATAAAATAAAATCATGCATGTAATTCTCTTCCCCAAAACAAACCAACCAAATAAACAAAAAAATGGAAAAAGAAAAAAAGGAAAAAAAAAAAAAAAAGGCTTTTAACTCTAGTATGTAATTTGACCCTTCCTACCGACCCTGGTTTATTTGCTCTGACATACAGCCACGTTTATAAGCGTTAGCGTATCTGTACAAAAAAGAATACCTTTCTTTTCTCCGGTGCTTTCTCGACACAAAATATATTAAATTTGGGATCACATCACAGAATTCAATTCCCTTCTCAAGAAATCATCTTCATCCGATCGCGAGACATTTTTTCTTCGATTTAACCGAGGTGATAGTTTCTCGGTTCTTCTATTTTAATTTTTTTTTAATTGTTTGCTATAATAATTTTCATCCATTTTTGTGTGTGTATATATATATATAGTTAAGATTATCTATTCGGTCGTGAATATATTTGTATAAGATCATGAAACCAATTAATTTTTATTTCCATGTTTTCTTGGTTTTCTTGTCAGGGTTTGACGCTGAACAGCTATTGGTTCATTTATCTGGAGCACTTTTGTGTGTGTAAATAATTGTATATCTATTTTTGTTTGCTTTATCAGAGGAGTATTGTTGTGATAGAGAGGGGAAGAGGGGAAGAGTTTGATGCTACTTTGTATTATTCTACATCAAATACTAATGTAACATTTCCAATTTGTATTGTTTATTTGGCTTAATTTTTTCTCCTCCATTGCGTGAAGACAATTTATTCTGCTCGGCAACACCATTTGATGCAAAGGGTATAATGCTACAGTTGTTGGCCTTTGCTCTTGCCATAATGGCATTGATGCTCTGTTTGTTTCTTGTACTTAGTGGTGCTGTGTGCACATAACTCTCTGTTTCACATCCATATCAGTTTCTTGAATTTCGGGTGCAATCATTTTTCCCTCTTTCTGGTTCTTAAATATCCCGTCTCCACATAAATACACACGGACACAGATGTCTCAGTGCATATGAATGAGTTTCTGATACATATGACATTTAGTATATTTCTCGTCATAGAATGTGACAGAAAAATGTACATAGTTTTATACCTTGATATTGGATTGGATGAGTGCAGGTTCTTGGTCATCTGGAATTTTTAGGTGGGCATGTTGTTATAATTGAGTAAAAATGGAGAGCTTAGCACAGTTGGAAGTTTTGTGTGAAAGGCTGTACAATTCACAGGATTCAGCTGAACGAATGCATGCCGAGAACACTCTGAAATGTTTTTCCACAAACATTGATTACATTTCACAGTGCCAATTTATTCTGGACAATGCACTGACACCTTATGCCTTGATGTTGGCTAGTTCGAGCTTGTTGAAGCAAGTGACCGAGCATAGTCTCTCTTTGCAGCTCCGCCTTGATATCCGTAATATATTATTAATTTTTGCACATTTTATATTGCTGTCGTCAAGTAAGGAAGTTTGTTATGCTATTGTGGGCAATTGTCTTTGTTTGACATGATAGTAAGTATCATACTTAAGTTGCCTTCTTAAGGGGCAAGAGAGGAATGACACTCGAAATGATAAGATGTTTTTTGTGGATTTTTAATTGGGCGGCTTCAAAGAAGAAAGGATTTTTTATATACCTTACTTCCTTTTTCCTTCAATTTTAGTATCGTATCTCCATTAACAATGATTTCTTGTTAACTATGTATTAAATTTTCCAATGCATGGTAATGCTACAAGATTTAAAGCACAACCTAATTAATTCGAACAGATTGGTGTTTTGTTTAACTTTCATAATATTCATTGTTCTCTGAATTTATTGCTTTGTACTTTCTATGAAGGAAACTACATTGTAAACTATCTGGCAAACAGAGGTCCTGAGCTGCAGTCCTTTGTGATTGGATCTTTAGTTCAGCTTTTATGTCGACTTACCAAGTTTGGATGGTTTGATGATGATATATTTAGAGATGTGGTTAAAGAATCAATTAAATTCTTAAGCCAGGTAATTTATGTTTATAGTGGTTAATTTTGTTACAATCGTGGAATTTGTCCAATCAATGTGCAGGCATTCATGTGCGTTAACTCCAAATTTCTATCTTCCTAACTTGCATATTATTCTTTTGTAAATCAAGCGAAGAAGTAGTTTTGCATGATGCATGTATTAGATCTTGTTGATTTAGTTTGAATATTGACAATTTGAAATTAAGAAGTTATTCAAGGAAGGTAAAGTTAGTTTTCATTGACCATGGAGAAAGATGGGTTGCAGGGAAGTGACTGATCTTCACTTGTATCATCTATGAAGGAAAGTGTAGAGCAACCCACAGGTGGTTAAGCCGTTAAGGGAATGGTTGGGGACTTAACCGTTGCTTTAGAGCTTAAGTTGTGCCAAATGCACATTGCATGTAACCCGGGCCGCTAGATTATATGTACCTAAGAAGCACTGACATGGACACGAGCGTCCGACACGCGATTTTTTAAATAAGTTCCGACACGTTGATTATAAAATTATTATTTTTAGTTTATTTTAATTTTATGAATTATGTTGAGGGGTAAAATGGTACAATTTCATTCAAACAAATATTATATATTATTTAAACAAAGTTGCAGGCATTGAAAGATACAAAAAGATACAAAATGGTACAAAATTTTACAATGATGGTCATACAAATTAAATTATTCACTTGTATAGGAGATTTTCATCATTTATAGCCGTCCCTTTTTCTTCTCTTATTTATTTTCTGTTCCAGCTTCTTCTCTGATTTCTTTCCATTTCTAGCCGTCTTCTTCTCTGATTTCTTCAGTTCTACAGGTTCCATTTTCAGGTTTTTTTCCTCTTTTTTATTCTTCCTTCCCAAACGGGAAACTGAACTCTGGTTGCATTTCTTCCTCCAGCTCCGATTGCATTTCTTCCCTTCAACTCAACTGCCCAGCAATCGTCCAACACGTCGCAAGCAACTCCGATACGCTATCGCCGGCAGCGTGTCGGTGCTACATAGATATGTATTATCCACTTTGGAAGGATCTGGGCCCATCTTATCCCTTACGGATTTCTATCGCTTCTTAGGATTTGAACCTAAGACCCCTACTTTATGAGAGTCTTAAGTTGATTTAACTAAAGTCTCTCTTAACGGAAAGTTCATGGGTTTGAATAATGGGGACGCGATAGAAATTTATGAGGGATAAGAGGGCAGATGTCCCTTCCGGAGGAGACAGTACGTAAGAGAATGGTCGAGCATGATGCTCGGGTTGTTACAAAAAATGCTCATTTTTTATAACAACTCGGCCTCTATGCCCAAACCTTTAATTTATGTATCGTCCATTATAAGAGAGCTAGCTCATATTACCCCTTACGATTTTTGGTCGTGCTCTCAGGATTCGAACCTATGACATTTTTCTCGAGAGAGACTTAAGTTTAATTAACTTACTGGGATTCAATTTAAGTTTCTCTTAAGGAAATTGTGGATTCGAATCCTAGGGACGCGGCAAAAGGTTGTGAGAGGTAAAATGGGCTAGGTTTTTTCACAGTGGACAGTACGTAAGTTAATGGTTTGGGCATAGAGATCGATTTGTTACATTGTAAGCTTATTATATGTTTAAGTTTCTTTAACGAATAAAATATGTGATATGTAATTAATATGGGAACAAACCTGTTTATATGATTGAGCCTATGGAAAGTGGTAAAATGACTGACATTTTTGTCTATTATTTTAACACTATTCAAGTACATAACTCTCTTGAATAAACCTAGCAGAGATTGAAGTTTATGTAACACTCCAAATTTTCATAAACCCAAGTTTTACCAAAGACTTACTTTTCTTTACGCTAAATGCGGAGCGATAAATTTTTTTTTTTTTTATATAATAAAATAATTGGAATATTTGTAAATTTAAAACAAAGCATGGAAATTGTATCTCTAAAAAATATAATCACCTAACTAATTAAATATCATGTTTTTGAACAAATTAAACTAACTAAAACATTGAAAGACTGGAAAATTTAATATTTATTTTTCTTTTGATTCACTTGGCATTCCGCATCACCATCTTACTACAAATTCAACCAACCCGACCTATGTAAAATTATTGTAAGAATGAGTGTTTAAAAATATCCAATAAGATACATGCTATTTTTATAGACAATTATATAACAATAAAATAGCCACTTCATATCACATTTCTTATGGAGTATATTGATGGCCAAATGAGACTCCCATTGGTAGTATTTTGAATTCTCGAAAGATTTCACACTTCGTTATAAAGAACCCAGTAGAGTTCACCTTTCGTTAGGTTGAATCTGAAGGTCCACTTGCAATTTATGTATAAATTACTGAATATAAAAGCATACGGAAACAAATCACTTGTAGAAAATATCTTACCTGGATAAATGAAAATACTTTTTTTGAAAAGCACAATCCAAAATCATGCTCCAAATTTACTAACTTCCTTGCCTGTCTTAAAAGTGCATTATGCTTCTGCCAATTAATACCCTCTGCCCGTGCGTGTATGTATTATAAATATTTAGTTGTGAAACGTTCTCTTAACCTTATGGGGGTATGTATAGGACAAAATAGTAACAATTGAATTGTGGTTCAAAAAGGACTCGGGGAGCTGCGTCCCACAAGTAAATAGGATAAGAATGACTTCATATAATTTTATCTCATCTCTGTAAAATTTTTAGTAGGTGAAAATAAGCTCCCGTATGGCCCCCATTTTTGCGAAATGAAAATGTGTGGAATAGTGTTTTTTTTTTTTTTTTTTAAAACGAGTGGTTGAAAAAGAAGGAAAAATTATCGATTTATGTATAATATTATTTTATGGAAGATTGTGTAGTTGAGAATAGGAGAGATAAAAATAAAATATAATGGAAAATAATTTAAGGGGGGCTAAAATTTAAAACAAATAAATCCTTAGACACATGCCGTGGCAGGGAGATGGAAAATTACCGAATAATTTTATATAATAAATTCTAGATTAGTTTATTTAGGATTTTGCTTACTTAGATGTATCCTAATCACAATAGTGAACCATATCTACTCTTACAATCTGGTCGAGAATAAAAAGAATACTTCATAAAAGTGAGAACAAAAATTCTAAGAGGGTATTTGGTGGGGATTAGAATTAGATTTTTCAGTAAATTGTGAAAGAAGTTTTTGAAATGTGTGGTTGAAAAGTTGCTGAACTCATGAAAGATGTGGTTAATATTAATTGTTTGACTTTGATTTAGATTAAAATCAGATTTTAATCTGTACCAAGCGGGCCCAAATTAAAGAAATTCTAATTTAATATGGATAAAAATAAGTGGAGTTAGAAAAATATAAAAATGGGATTATAATTATCAATTAACATTTATTCTAATCAAAATGGGATTAAAATTAACAATTAACCATGATCATTATTAAAATAGGATTTTTATATATCCAACACCTCAAATCCTAAACTGACAAAAAACATTTTCCGTACATCTATATAAAGGTACACGTGGCTACCAACCCTTTAACAATCAATTTAATTAAATAATTATAAATGACAATTTCTTTAAACTTCAAATTTTGGGTCTAATTTATTCGAATTAATTTTTTTTTCGAGTCCATGGTGCATCATCTGATATGCCTTCGAGCCCAATATTGATGTATTTATCTTTGCTATATCAAAATCTAATTATTTGGCCCAAATAAACTAAAATTCTATTCTATAAAATTTTCAGGGAATAATAGTTTAATCAGTTATTAATAATTGTTTCGGTTCATATGTGATATATGGAATCACACATTATCGGACCGTGAGAGTTGGAATTCAAGAATGTGAAATTGATGAATGATTAGGTAGGGGTCTATAAACGAACTCGAGGTTCTGCATATTGTTTAACTTCTTTTTGTTCCTGTAACACACAAGTACGTAACTTTCTTGAATAAAACTAGCAGAGATTGGAAGTTCTACCAGTTATTACTAATTGTTTCAGTCCATATGTGTATCACACATTTGAGAGCTGGAATTCAAGAATGTTAAAATGACGAATGATTAGGGAAGGTCTATAAATGAACTTGAGGTTCTGCATATTGTTTAGGAATTACGACCAATAGGAAATTATCGTTTTAGTACATCCTAATGCTCTTAATCTTATCATTTGAAGTATTCAATTGCCAGTATGAAGATCTGTGATGGGAATCTCAAATTTTCATTCATTCTTAAATGTAATGTCTAACACATTCACACATCAGATGTGAAATATGAACTGAATCTTAGTTAAGTTACCTTTAGTATATATTACTTATTTGAAGCAGATAATGAAGGAACTGGGAGCCTGGCATCACATAACATAAAATTCCTTCTAGACATATGGAAATCTAAATTAGTATGAAATATAAACTCCGCTAAAATCAAGATAATCTATTTCAAGTTATTATTTTGTCTAATCTTAAATATATTGAGAAATCTTCTCTTGACTCTTCTCTGGCATCTAAAACATGTGCGCGTCCTATTTACATTACAGAGCAAGATGCCCCTTTCAGTGGGACCACCTTTCTCCTAGTTCGAAGTCAATCAAACAGGCTGCTTCCTGATTTCTTTAAAAACAATGAGAAAACCTATATTTAGGAAAGTGAAAACAATTGCTTCAAGTTTTTACATTAGAGGTTCCAAGATCAAAACTAGAATTAGAGTATTTTCAGTTCCGTCATGCCTCCCTGTTCTTTTGTGAGGAAAAAGTATAGTAATCTAACATAAGATTTATTAATTTTATTGCATGCTGTAATTACTGCATCAAATAATTGGAAAGAGACTATTTTAAAGCCTATGCGGATACCTATTTTAATTTTTTTATGTACATAGAAATTATGAGTATATGCTCGTTCTTGTACGCAACCTCCCGTCCCATCAATTTCTATTATAACAAAATAGATGAGTATATGTAAACCCCAGAACAGAAATTGTTGCATGAAAATGTAAAAATACATAAAGAGATGCTTAATGCCCATAATTTAGTAATTCGATATAATCTTATTCTCACAGTTGTACTGTTGACAAACTGTCTGAGGATGCATAAGATTTATCAGTCTTTGCAATTTAATGTGAACCATAGTTCAAAATTCTAGTCATAATGTTATAAAAGATACATTGATTGTACTTGGCAAGAAAGATGATATTATGCACTATGCTATATAAAAACAGTGGTGTTTTTTAATGCTTGCTGGACATCTTAAAGTGCTTGCCAACTAAATTTTAGCTGTTTAGTTCAACTCCTCTTATAGACTAAGTTGGGAGTTACGATTGTAATCCCAAGTAACATTGGTTAAGGTTCATTAAATCCTTTTCCATCTGAGAGGAATTACTACACTTAAAGTTTTGGACTATGATGCATGAATTCTCTCATTACAACGATGTGCCTATGTCTGACATGTGTCATGTCAGATCTACACTTTCAGGCAAAGGACATGTATCAAACAGGCCCATGCCTATGTCCCAATTTATATATATTTTTTAAATTACCGAACCACCCTCTCGCAAATGTTCGATGTGCTGTGTGTCGTACTTATAGTAAAAATTATAATAAAGATATAATACATGAATTTAAAATTTATAAAGATTGTAAATCTGTGCCTTTTTTGAAAAATCATGTATCGGTGTGTCCGTATCGTGTCGTGTCCATATTGCGTGTCCATAAAGCCTAACTTCTTTTAGTAGACAACTGATTATTGATAAAACAGATAACTTATTAGATAAACATTCTCCTTAAAGAGGTAAAAAATTGGAGTCCCTGTTTTATTTTAATAATTCAGTATCTTAACAAGTTGTTTTATTAAGTGAAACAGATCAGATTCCAAAAGTTGGTGAGAGTATCTAATTATAACTAATCCCAAAAAGGTTGGCAATAGCAATGCTTTGCATAACTATTCGATCTTCCTCTCAATGTCTTTATTAGAAAATCATTTTGTTTATACTAGATATTGATTTACTACATTAATGATTGCACAGAAGATTATCTACATAAAAGACAAAATATGCAAATTCTGAAATAAATGACATTGCTTTTAATTACTCCCTAGCATCAAGAAAAGACAGTATGGGAAGTGGCTTACACTCCTTGCTTTGTTGCTCTGCATAGCATCTGACGCCGAGCCTATCGGAGGTCGTTTTAGTCAGAAAAATCTAGCTTCATAAGATTGTTCTAACAGCTGGACTTCAACATCCGGCTGTTAGATGTTTATTACTATAAGGGAATTCTGCCTGTAAGAATGCTTGGCATGCATTTCTGAAGGATTATTGACTGTCATGGTCACCATCCTAGTCCATTATTATCTCCATCTTTTTCATTTCCCAGGGAAAAGGGAGGGTAACCAATTTTCTTTTATCATCATCATTATCTTTACCTTATTTTTGAATGTGGAGGAGCCTGACATTTGTTACAATGAAATTCTGTACTCAGGAGTCAAATGATTTGTATAATAATCATTATTCGTGTTTACTTTGAGACTGGAAGGTTGATTTATGTGGGCTGGAAAAGTTGCCACTCTCCATTCACCTGTAAGGTGAATGTCTTACGATTCAAAAGTATAGACAAAAGGTGGACTTAGGCTGACATAAGAAAAACGAATGAAAAGAGAAATACGAGATGAAATGAGACACAGATGCAGGATATGTACGATGAGATCTTCAAAAATTTTGCCTAGCGTGAGAGTAGAGGATCTTTACGCTATTTCTCTGGAGCAACTATTATTTTGCCTTTCCAAATTATGTAGTTTCGATAGCGATTAGGTTCTTTTGGCACATGTTTCAGAGCTTATTTGTTTTCCCTTTCCCCCTTATCATTCCAGCTTGATCCTACATATAATTGATCTTATCTTTTGAATGCTAACTTCTGCTATGTGAACTGATGATATTTGTTCCACATGAATACAAATTATTTAGTTTACATGTCCTGGACAGCATCGTCATTCTTTTGGAAACCTATGCACGTTTAATTTCTCTGCGTGTCTTTCTTGCCTCATTTCTGCTTTTAACTAAGTTATTATAATTTGGATGCTAATGCTTATGCTATAATTCCTGATGAGGTTTCTTTATTTATCAGGCGACATCAGATCATTATGCTATTGGTTTAAGGATATTAAATCAGCTTGTTTCTGAGATGAATCAGGTTGGACTCTTTTAACACTCGTCCAAGTTTTACATTTGTTTGAAGAAACCAAGGTTCATAGAGGAATTATAAATTGGAAGATCTTTGGAATTCTTGCTTTATGCTTCAGCATTATACGACATCACAGATTTACACTGTCACCTGATATTTAGCCTTTGTTTGGGCTCCATTTTAATTAAATTTTGGGAAAAAGTATTCTGAAATAATAATTTTTTGGAGAATTTGTGGTTAAAAAGTAAGAAAAAGTTTTGGGTTTACGTGTAATATTATTTTATTGAAGAATATGTGATGGAAAATGAGTTTTGAAAAGACGTATTTTTGGTTTAATAGAGCCCAAACAAGGGCTTACTGTTCATTGATTATTTTTATTTATTATTATTTTTTTTTCAGACTCTAAAGAGCTATTATGTTTTGCCTCTTTCACCATCGTTAGATTTCTACATGTCTGGGTTCTACTTGATGTTTCTTGACTTTATACTTTCAGCCAAATCCAGGAGTGCCTTCATCGCATCATCGAAAGGTGGCCTGCTCTTTCAGGGATCAGTCTCTTTTCCAAATTTTTCAGATATCCTTGACTTCGTTGCATCAACTAAAAAATGATGGTAATGTGCTTGTTTTTGTTTTCATTTTGTTACAGGTGTTAACTAATGGCTCGATTTCTCTGTTTTTAAGTGCAAGACTAGTCTGATAGTTATTAATTTAAAAATTTCAGCCATGAGTCGCTTGCAAGAATTGGCACTATCCCTATCACTGAAGTGTTTGTCTTTTGATTTTGTTGGGACGACAATTGATGAAAGTTCTGAAGAATTTGGAACTGTTCAGGTATATTTTGTTTAAAATGAGGTTATTAACATATTAATAATCTGTTTTCAGTTTAGCATTAAAGATATGATACGATCTTTATGCATATATATTAATGAGGAATTTTTATTAATGGACGTATTCTGGAAATTTTATATAGCTGATCTAGCTTTTATTTCACAGATTCCATCTTCTTGGAAGCCCCTGTTAGAGGATCTTTCTACGCTTGAGATATTTTTCGATTATTATGCACTCACAAAGCCTCCTATCTCCAAGGAGGTAAGTTCATCATGTGTATCCCTATATTATAGTCTTTGCACAGTCCTTATTTGATTTTAATTTATGGCATTACAATGCCAAGTTCTTGGTTTTTTGCGGTTGTGTTGTGGCTAATGTCGTGGATTTGTTTGTGCTTATCTTACGTTTTAAATTATGTGATGCTTTCCAGTCGCTGGAGTGCTTAGTGCGATTAGCTTCTGTAAGACGCTCTCTTTTCACTAACGATGCTACGCGCACCAAGTTTTTGGACCATCTCATATCAGGAACAAAAGAAATTTTAAGAACAGGGCAAGGTATGAAGGAATTGTTCTTAAAGCTTTTTCAGTTTATACGAATTTATATATGTGGATAAACCCTAGAAACCACATCTTTCTATGTAAGTACTGTTCGTTATTTTCTTAATATCTGCAGTATGGTTCCATTATTTGTAGATTTAGAGTAATTTGTTCACTTCTTAGGCACTGGAAGTTCAATGTAATGAGCAGCTATTTCTTACTTTTGATAATTATGGTGGCATTTTACTCTTTTTTGAAGCGGAATTGTTCTTTAGTGTGGTCTTCATAGTTAGATTGATATTGGTACAGACAAGGAAAACTTTTTCCTCTAAAAAATTGGGCTCATTGAGGCATAGGTCATCAGGTAAATTGTTACAACGGAATGTGGGAGGTATTCTGTTAGATATCTCAGTTACTTAGGTAAGTTCCTTGGAAGTCTTTTTATAAAGAGATCTCTCTCTCTCTTTTCGCTTTAGTTAACAATTATGAAGACCACCTGTGAAATTTCGTGGAAGAAAATAATGACATCAGCGATAATAGTGCTGTCTGTAAATGTACGCATAGATTATTTCCTCTGGATCTTCCAGCACATCGTTTCTGGAATTTTGTCATGAGTCCGAACTTCATTTCTTTGCACGAGTTCATTAGGTTGTTGATCCACATAGATTGTTAATCAATATTTTTTTGCTTCCCAGTAGGCTGACAAGTCGTAGACCATAAATACCCTGATTCCAAGTGATGCAGTTTGGAGGCTGAGAATACTATTTATAATCTATCTGTGGTGAAACCTTTTCTATTTAGAAGGAAACCAATGATTTGTATTGGATCTAGGCTACCATTTCAGCAAAGCCTCATGTAATTGAAGAGCTGGAAACAAATTTCATTGAGATTCAAAAGTCGATTAATTTGCTATGGTTTTGAATGGAAAGTTTCCATATTTATAGAGGAAAAAGGCTAATGCCTAATAACTTTATGGCCTACGTGAACTTTAAGTGCAAGCCTTCATAGTATCCAAATTAATCAAAATTATACGATTAATTAAAATAAAGTTCCAAAAAATTAATTTAGCCCTTGTGCAGGCTCCATTAAAATCAAATTTTAGGGAAAAATATATTTTGAAATTGTGATTTTTTGAAGAATTTGTTGTTAAAAAAGAAGGAAAAGTTTTGTATTTACGTGTAATATTATTTTATTGAAGAATGTGGTTGAATAAAATGGAGCCCGAACAAGAGCTTTATGTGACACCAGACATTACAATAACTTCCCTTTTTTTCTCGAACTTTCTGTTAACTAAAAAACTTATTAATATACAAGGTGTGCAGAATTAATCCAATTCTCTGTTCTCTTTACTAACCAAGGGTCCATCCAAGAATTAACATAATCAAGAATGAATTGCCTATTTCAAAAAAATAAAATGAGTGCCTCTGATGTGTCACAATCGTAGAGAATGAATTCTTTCTTCATGTCTTCAATAGTTCTTCAGTTCACCTTACCTTCGCTACTACCAAATGGTACCAGCTGAACATTAGTTGCTCAACCCTGACTGGCATCACCTAAGCTATACCGAAAAGGTAAAGAAGTAAGACAGGTCTTCTACATGTAAAATATGCTTAATGTTGGATATGTGTAATTATGTAATTTGTCCTTATTTGAAATATTTCTCAATGATATGGTTTACTAGTACTTCTAAATACAAAATACATGGCCTTTTCTCTTTGGTTTCCTGGTGCAATTTCCACACCTGGATGCGGCGCTGTTATCTCTTCAACCCC